AGAAGATTTTGATTGCGTTTTCGCCTTTTTGAATAAAGGTATTTCAACATTATACAAGGGGAGGTCTGCTGTTCCAATTGTTTTTAGATTTTATACAACAGGAACTTTCGAGCAAGTTATTGGCGATTTATTTGGTGTTTCTGTATGTGCTACGTTCATAGTCATTCACAAGGTTTCAAAGGCTATCGAGAAACGAAAAGAACATTTTCTTTCATTCCGTTAGAACTTGGCTGATAGCAAGAGAGAGTTTTAAAAGAAAGTATTATGCAATAAACATTTTTTGGGGGGCGTTCGAAAATTACTGTATTCCTGACCATCCTCCTTTTTCGTGATTATGGCTTTTTTCTTGCGAATAACTTTAACGTCGGTAAGAGCTTTTCCTCCACTAGTTTCTCTGGGACGTGTTTTGGATTCGGGGGAAGTGTTTTTGGATTCTGAGACGTGTTGTGGATTCTGGGAATTGGCGAAGCTAATACTAATTGACACCAGGGGGTGCGTTGGATTTGGAAATCCGGATTTAAAATTTATAATCCGGATTTCGGATTTACAACCGAATGCGAAATCCGAAAACGGATTTCAACGCAGAGATATTTGTTTTTGAATCCCCTTTCTTTCCATTTTTTGGGGAAATCTGAAAAAGGATTTGAAAAACAGTTCTTCTGAACAGCAGTCTTGCACGCGCAAGCATAATTAGCAAAAAGAAGACCACTGTTCACGACAATAGTTTTGCAAATCCTTTTTCGGATTTCGGAGGTCGCGTTCGATTGCAAAACCTGAAGTCCGCATTTCAAAATCTAAATCCACATTTCCCAATCGAACGCAACCCAAGTGTCATAACCTTTATGCAATCATCGATTATTACTTTTCCACATATCACACAAAGAAAGAAAAAAAAGCTGAAACGGCCGTGGGAGCAACCGGGGGCAGCCTATCAAAATAAAGCTCAGAAATTCATCTTCAAGATAACACAAAAAGTAAAGAATACAAATCAACGATTTGCGAGAAACGAGCACTTGAACATATTCACCGCACTCAGATGATTTCAACGAACAATTGTCGTCCGACGTCATCCCGCGTAATAAACCATTTTACAGTTACAGGTAGAAACGAGGCTAGAGTTGACCTTGTTTTGATATAACCCTTCCTGCTTTCTTATGTAAATCATGCTGTTCTTATGCATTGCTTTTATGCTTATTAGAACAGGAGGGCATTTTGTGTGCGCATGCGTGCATCCGAAAAACGACAATAGCGTTGGCGCATCAAATATGATGGCGGGAAATCGAAAACTCCCGCTAAGTTACAGTCCTTTAAAAGCCATTTCGTTGGTACCGTATTTCCTACAAAAAATGTTCTCCATGACAAAAATCGGACGTTTTCTATGCGGGTTTTCAGTTGCAGATTTTTCAGCAGTAGGTTTTCTTGACCCTTTCAAGACTTAAAAGACTGAGCGCCAAAAATCACTGTTCCTGTATCAGATCTGAGTTTCACTGGCAAAGCAATGCATTTCAATGGCTTGATTTCCAAACTCATGGTTTTACTTATCAATGGCAGTTTTCTTTGTTAGGCTGTGTGCAAACGGACGCAACAACGCGCAACAATGTTGGGAGTTGTTGCGTGCGTGTTGGCAGTGGTGTGCAAACGGATGCAACAACTCCCAACATTGTTGCGCCAAAAATGTTGGGAGTTGTTGCGTGCGTGTTGGCAGTGGTGTGCAAACGGATGCAACAACTCCCAACAATGTCGGGACCTGCGGTGCGTTGTGGGAAGGATACAACCCATAAGTCTTTGAAAACCATGCGTAATGCGCGTGCGCGGCCCCAACAATGTTGGGAAGAGTTTCACTGGCGAAAAATGTCTGATTGGTCGATACCAGACCACGTGACACAAAGTAAATTCAACGTGGCGGCAAAGTCGTCCCTCGTGTGTTTATTCCAGGAGAAAGAAGAAAAACTGGAGCCCTCCTAGGCGGCATTTGTTTGAATGGTCTAGACTTTTTACTATTCTCCTTTTCCTCCTGTTCTTGTGAGATTCGTTTACTGCAATGTTTGCGTTTTGGTTTACCGGATGCGACTAGACTGGCAAGACTCGAATGTTCCCAAGGGGCGCGCTTCATCATGAATGCATAACAATATTGAACGCTTCAAAGTATTGTACTGGCTTATTACTTGATAATCCTACCGGTCCATAGTTTTGTATTTAGTTTTCTTTCCATTTTATTCTTTAAAACTTATCATGTGCTTGATCCCAGTAACACAGTATACTCAGCAACAATCTTAGTAGTAAAATAACACCCAAGATGTAGAAGCAGATCTAGAGAACATGGATGGAATATTAATGACTTTGTTTTGTCGGTTGTTCAAGTAATTAGTGTACATGCATGCTAAACCGCTACAAAGGAGTAAAATGAATGTTTACTTATTTGTCCAAGTGTACAGAATGTTTTTGTGGATTTTACTCAGAAAACAAAAACCTGTCACATATTTTTAGGCTCACCAGTTTCTTATATAGAGGGGCCAAACTGGCAAATTTTAGCCTAACAGGTTCTTAAAAATCAGGTTCTTAGTCACGGGTTTTTACTGTATAGTTTATGAAAGGTAAATTAAAGCATGTCTGTTACATTTGTTAACTGACATAATTATGTTAGTTTGTTTTGAAAGCTTAAACTATTAAGCAGGAACCTGCATGTCATGCTCCAAAGTACTATTCATCAAGATGATCCATTAAAAATTTTATCTTTAGAACACAACATAGAGCAAAGAATGCTAACCCAAACTATTAATTTCTGTAAGTTCACTTGTTTTTTTTTAGGAGTGACTACCTTCAGAAAATTTGCCATATCTTATACCTTGAAATGAGGATTCCTTTGCAGCTGGTTATCTTTCACTTAATATTTACGCCTAAACGTTAAACAGAAAATTTAGAAACAGAGCTGCCTGTCAGAGAAGCCATTTAATCCAAAGACCCATTATCCACTCTCTATCTGAGATGTTATTAGCAAGCAGAGAGGTAAACACAGAGAACCCAAATCTCTGTGATTGTCGTGGATGACTCCAAATCAAATTTTTGACAGAATGCTTTAATCGACTCGTCGATCCTTTTAATTGCAAGCATGACAGCTGTGCAGAGTGTCAACAGAAAATGTCTAGCATAGATAATCTTGACATTAGTTGGTTCGATCAAAATAAAATTTTTCATCGCCGAAAGAGTCTATTGTAGCATTTTGCAAGACTCTCACGTTCTGGAAATTCGAAGTTAAGCCTAAAATGTCCAAAATATACAGTGCTATAATCTCAGGTTCAACTGAAGAATGAATTGTTCGATCGATCAAAATCGTGTCAAACTTTAATTAGCATCAAAAGTAGGACAGTACGCTTTTAACACAAAACTGCCGCTTCGCCGTGCCACTCGGTACAAGTTAATTTATATGTCAAAACAAAGTCGAAGAATGTTGCTTTCCCCGCTTTATAATTTTCCGTTGTACCGAGAGGCAGAAAACTTAAACCAAGCGCAAACCTCTGCGATAAACAGTGTATGTGAGTTCAGATTTAGCAGTCAGAATATTTTTGTTTTGATCAATGAAAATGCGCCCGGAATGGTAAGCTACCTCTTTCCTGCATCTCTTTCCCTCTGCTTTTTGATGTTCTGTTGTGTAGTGCTATGTTCCGTTTAACTTGAACCATGCATAAAAATTCAAAGATGTCTAAATGTTTACAGTGTGGGCAAACCGAATGGTAGCCAAGCTGTTGCCGTAAAACACAATCGTGTCGATTTATAACACAAAAAGGGTCTACGCGTTTTACAAAAATGCCGCTTCCGCACAACTCGGTACACGCCAATTCATATACCAAAACAAAGCCCAATAATTTTTCTTCCACTGCTATATAATTTCTTGTTGTACCGAGTTGCACGAGACTTGCACTAAACATAAAAGGAGAAAATTACCCACCTTTTTAGCATGCCCTCTCCTAGCATCCAGCGATCACAACGCCGATCTCGGATAAACGGATCGAGCCAGTGTGTTTGCCTGAAAGTTCCAGGATGCATTATCTACTAGACAATACATAGCACTAAAAATTTCGACCAAAATAGTTATCGATCTCTCACAGTGGCAACAAAACCACAACACTACCACTGACAAAAAGCTGCCATTTCTTCTTTCATCTAGCTTGACAATGTTTCGCGGGGATTTTGCCTCTAAGCCAATGACTTTGCCGGAAATCGACCATGTGATCTTTGTCGTGGCGCTTGCGTAGACATTTTTCGCCAGTGAAGGAAGAGTTGTGCAAATGGATCCAACATTGTGGCGCTACGCTTCGGCGATCACGGAACAAAAGAAATGTTGGGAGTTGTTGGCTGAAAAGTTTGACCGCTTTCAAACTTCGCGCAACAACATGCAACAGGGTGTGCAAACGGTCGCAACATGTAACATCCAACAATGTTGGGAGTTGTTGGCCAACAATTTTGCGTCTGTTTGCACGGGGCTTTAGTGTTGTCCCAGTGCGGCTTTTGCTCTTCAGCACAGCGGTTTTGTACCACGTGAATGGCTCGCTGCAAAGGACCTGTAACAGTAATTATGCACTACATTAATCATGATTAATCACTTGAGCATTTCATAAGCTCACTTGGAGGCAAAACAAATGTACCCTGAAAAAAAACGAACAGTACTTTTATTTTTCTTTAAGTCTAAAGGATACAGAGATTTTTCCTAAGCGACTATTTTGAAGCGACTGACTTGAGTAACAGCAGTGCTCGAAATGAACTGTTGGGTCTGGTCTTCCACAGGACCAGTAGGATTAAAATTTACTGTTCGATCAGCAAATCTACTTATCACTCTTATCATTTCCAGTTTTCTGTTGACTCTGAAGGTGACTACCGCACAGGTTGTCGAAACGTCAGTCACTGTCAACAACAACAGTCCTTTTCAAGACTACGTTCACCCGGACGATCAAACTCAACCTACTTTCGAAATGACTCCTGGGTTCAAACCTTTCACAGTTTCTTTTGAATGTATGCCGTTTTGTGTCTGCAAGTTAAAAAATGAAACTGAAATCAAATAAACACAACCGTAGTATTTATTTACCCGTACATAGCGGCCAAAACAAGTGTCTTACAGTATGTCCTTCACTGACTTCACTGGCCTCATGTGCTTTCAGGCTGTCTGTTTGGACATTATTTCTTTTATTTTCTTTTCCGTCAAACCTCAGCCATTTTTATCTCTCCTTCCATGTCTTCTGGGACTTGCGTGTTTTTTGGTCGAAGCAGGTGTTTAAATACTGTGTTCATTTCTTTTTTATCTGATGATTGCTTCCTCCAAAGAAAGAGTACAGTGAGCTTTGCACTTGTTTCCGTTTTACTTTGGCTCACGTTGTAATTCACTAAAGAAAGATAGATACGGATCTTCGAAACAAAAAGCCGCCATCTTGTATCCCACAATGCATTTTGTTTCAAGTAGAACCCAGACTTTTATTTGGCAAGAGAAATGCCAAACACTTTTTACCTGTTTGGTTTTGAAATATTTGCCTTTGGCAAGTCTTCGTTTGTTTCAAGGCTTTTAGCACGTTTTAGTACGATACCAAAAACAAAACCACATTTCTCAGAGAGTGATGACTTTACTCGTCCAGAGGACTAGTGGGGAAGAAAACTACTCCTTTTCGGAATTTTTAACTCGTTTTGGAAGAGTGGACGACTGATAAGTTCGAGCACTGCGTAACAGCTCCTGTGTTCCACAATCGATTTCTTATTATTAATTTATATTTGATGACAGTAGTGATGCATTTAAAACAGAGAATAGCCATCACTCCATAAATCTAACTGACGATGTTTGTTCATCTTCAAAGCCTGTTAAAACAGAAGACAGGAAGTTTGTTAGAAGGGTGCATATAATGCTGTTTCCTCAAAAAAGAAATACTGCTGCTAAAGGACCCAAATGAATAGGGATGTCACAACGAACATGACACAAATGGATGGCGGTGAATTTGTTTGTTATTATTGTTTCTATTGACAGCTTTTTAGCGGAGCTCCCGCGCGCGCGAAGCACCATGGGTAAGAAAATTTGGTTATGACGTAGCGTACGCCCACCCGTACACACACTTCATTTAAGCCGATGTCAAATGTCACAATAGATCTTGCACAACTTGACTAGCCTTTCAGTTATGTAAGCCATCCGTATGAGTACGATTAGATTGACAGCTGTCAAAATCAGACATCCGCTGACAATTATCACATGACTATGTCGCGGGCTCAGATGAAAGACCAGTCGTTTTGCCCCTACATATAAGCTGTTATAATATGTCACACTTGCCAATTCAACATAAAAACGAAACTACGCCGGGCAAGGCTGTCAGTTGGCTGACAGTCGTTTAAAGTTATATTGGGAAGCCAAATTAAGGTCAATTGACAGCTGTCAAAACAGGACATGTGCAGACCAGTATCAGAAAACTAATAACGTGGGCTCAGGTTCGCTGAGGTACACGATCTGGCATTTTCTACTACAAGCCGGACGGATATGCCTTACTCACACTCGTAGTCTGTTAATTCGAATATTCGCCAATCTAATTAAGGTTAATTGACAGCTGTCAAACTAGAGTATACGCTGACCATCATCACCTGAGTGTATCGCGGGCTCATTTTTCTATCCATTGAGTTCACGTAGTGTTTAAAGTTTTGCGCTGATATTTTATTTGATCACGTGCTCAATTCGAAGCCCCAGAGGTTAGAAAAGGGACCTTAAGATCCGACGACGGCGGATGTCTACGACGGCGAGCGGAAGTTGGAAATATTTGCCTGCGCATTTCCGGTAGCCGTCGCGTGAGGTTTCCCGCCTTAGCTGTGTTGTCTGAGACGTCAAAACGAAGTGTTTGCCGTCTTGTCTAAAACGTGAGTAAATTTCTCTTATTTTAAGGCCATTTCAAAGGAATTTATCGAACATTTTCAATTTGTAATGAAGTGACAATTTTTTCCTAGCTTGTGACAATTGAAAATAGGTAGTAGAACTCGTTTAAAAGCGAAAATTGACTGGTTTCTTTCTCCTCCTAAACAGCTTCGAAAGTTCGTGTCTGCAAATAAGCCTCAGTGGAAATGATCTCAAAGAAAACAGTGCAGTAAGTAGTTGTCAACTCATTTTTCCTTCTTAATGAAAGCTAAACCATAAATTTAATTGAATAATTTACCCAATTCTGTTTGAGCAAAAGTTTGTTGAAGGTAGATGTAATTATGATTTTTCAGATCAAACATGGAGTGGACGGAGGAACATGACAACTGCTTGTGCCAAGAAATTTTAGTACTTGAACCCTTTAAGTACAAGAAAGGAAGCATTTCTAGAGGTCAGATCTGGGAAAAAATTGCAAACAATCTGAACGGCCTTGAGCTCCCCGATTCAAAGTCAGTAAGCGTGCTGTTGAGAGAGAGATACACGCTGCTGAGCGAGAAATTTAAAGCAAAGATGAAAGACGAAGAGAAGGCCAGCGGAATCGAATGTGATTTGAGTGATGTGGAAAAGGC